GTACTGAAAACACCTTCCGCGGCCAACACAACTACCGCCGCGCCGCATCACCTTCGTTACATTTAATATTTCAAACTGTTTTGTTATTTATAATATTATATATATTAACATAATATTATGTATGCATGCACTTTTTTTTTTCCATCGCCACAATATAATCACGAGAAATCACTGTAGCCGTAATCGAATGCTTAAACAAACGTGTACGATATAGATTCTCGTTCAGTGGTTCTTGACTGGTTTTTTCTCGCATTGCGGGATAAACGTTTGGTATGTAAATATACTAATATTAGATAGTATTGCGATGAAATTGCGAAAATCTCGAAAGTAAAATCAGTGTTATATAAATAGATAATTAATTTTAAACTCAATATTGATTAAACACATCCTACTTAATAATAAAATATGAAAGTTTATGAGGATTTATGAATGTATGTTGCTCTTTCACGCAAAAACTACTGAGCGGAATTCGATTGAATTTCGGTACAAAGATAGACGTGAACATGGAGAAAAACATAGACTACTAAAAAAGAATCAAAAAACTCTATACTTGGTGGGTAAAAGAAAATTGAAAATACGTAAAACGTTATCTCAGAAATTTAAGGTTATTATAGTGGATTTATAGTTCAATCCCCGTGTTGAGCAGGTATCTGTGTAATACGAATGAAAACAATGTATGATACACTATAGAACACTTTTAGATTCTGAGTAGAGTGAAGAAGCTTGTGGTTTTACATTGATGTTTATTTTTTATTTTTTTTGTGGATAAATTTTTTATCAGCAATTTTGCTCAGATTTTAAATTTTATCACTTTTTCTGAAAGGAAATCTGACTAGAATGGTACTTAATTAATTTGGAGAACTATTTCGGAGAACTAGTAAAATAGTCTTAAAACGAAACAATTATTGCAATTAATGTTATTAATTTTTATTTTTGTTTTAATTTAGTTAAAAATAATTTCAATTACCTGGCATTTTTGCCCATTATAGATCAATTTTTAAATTATCTATTATCCCAAAACTATTTGAGTCTATCGTTATTAAAAAACTATACATATTATTTTTTAATTATATTTATCCTAGCCAACATCGGTTTTGGCCTAAAAAATCAGTTTTCACGAATTGACTTCTTTATCACACTTATTTAATTTCTTCTATTAAAAACGACCTTTAAATTGATACAATATATACAGATTTCAGTAAAGCTATTGACAGAGTAAACCATGACTTGCTTATAATCAAGCTACACAAATTTGCACTGCATGGTAATTTTCTTAATTGGTTAAATTTCTACCTTATTAATAAAAGTCAGTCAATTTAATTAACAAATTATTCAAAAATTATTTCTGTAAGCTCTGTTGTATCTCAGGGTTCACACTTAGGACCTTTATTTTTTAATATTTACGTAAAAGATCTACCATCAATTTTGAATTCGTCGGTCAATGTATTAATGATATCCGATGACACAAAATTATATTTATTTGTTGAAAATCAAGATGACGCCGTTGATGCAAGAAAATTTAAATAGGTTTAGCACATGGTGCAACGAAAATGTATTATCAATAAATATTAATAAATGCAATGTTATTTCTTTCAATAAAAAAAATTATCCCTTAGTTTTTAGTAATAAAATTAATAATATTATCATAATCGAGTGGATTCAGTCAGAGATTTGGGTATTCTCTTTTATTGTTATTTATCCTTGTCTTTTGATTCTAATTTAATTATAAATAAGGCATTTATAATGCTAAGTTTCATATAAACAAATACTAAAAAATTTTTAAATTTTCATGCACTAAAAACGCTCTATTGCTCTTTGTTAGGACTTAGAATTTGATTCATTGATATGACGTCAAAATTCCACTGATACACTTGTTAACAATGTTCAATATAAATTCTTAAACGCAATTTCCTTCCGTTTAACTCTATCTATTTCCAGGGATTCAATGTCATTAGTAGCAGATTCCATTTATATTCAGCCATGTGTGGTTGGACGTAAGCTATCTGATGTCTTATTCGTCTATGATCTTCTCAATAATAACATTGATTGTCTTGGTTTATTACGTAAGATCAGTATTTATGCTCACAAATACTCAATTAGAAATTCAAATTTATTTTTTGTACCTTTTTTAAAAAAAAAAAATTGCACAGATTCTTTTTTCACGAGAGGGCTTCTACTTTTTAACCTAAACTGTTCTAATGTTGACTTTGTTTTTATGTCCCAGGAATGCTTTAGGTCGAATGCTTTAATTATTTTTTTAAGTACCCTATCAATCTATAACATTACTGTATGTATTTTTCATTCTCTTTTTATTCTCTTTTTTTTGTTGTTTTTTTATCATTGTTATTATATTTAAAGGGTTATTTTCCCGTAAAAAATATTAGTAAATAAATAAATACATTTGATAGATTTTTCTATATATATATATATATATATAATATGATATGTATTATATATGATATAGTTTCGAAAATAGTTTAGATTTTTTTGTCTGATTTAGGTACTTATGTATATGAGTGAAATTCTTTAGGGGCTTTGTATAAATGCTTGACATTTTTACACAGTTTTCTCCCAAGTTGTTCTTATGGAAATATAAAATAAACCACAATGCCCATTTTTTCAAATTCGTTTTTCCCATGATAGATTGAAATTCAGATATCATATTCTTTATTATATTAGCTTTCCTCTTCAACTTCCCACTTACAACATAGGCCTTCAATTTGGATTGTTTTATATTTTATACAAATATTTATTTTTTATTAATTCCAGTAAATATTATATACAGCCGTTATTTTAATTAACTTTTAAATTCATTATTCTAAAATGTCATATTATGTTCAGTACGAAATTTAAACATATGGAGTTGTCCAGCCCACAGTCGTGACTTTTGGTAAGAACTGTTTAGGTATAGATACATATAAGAAATATACAAACTTCAAAACCTCGCGATCTAGATTAATCAGCATCGTCTTCGATGATACTTTGTCACAGTCTTTGTGTTCCAGACCATTTTATCGCAATCTCGACTGCACGTCTACATGGGTACGTGTGTCGGCTGTACATCGATTTATCGTTATCCGATGATATTTATTACAGCGCCCAAGTGCCGCTGCCACCGACTTTTTTTTCATTATTATATACGATATCGTTTGGTCTCGAAATAGAAAATAATGATGACAGAATAAAAAAAATACAAATTTACACACGGCAGACATTTGTTTTTTTTTTTTTTGTTTTTTACATATCAACCATTCCCGCTGTATCCTACGCGTTTTATGCATTCTTTAAAGTATACGAATGTGAGTATAAGAACATAAGAAAAACTAGAAAGAATTCTATACTTTTTTTGTACAATATGTAACCACGCTAAGACGATATAAAAAGTTTTCTTTTGTTTCGGTTTGATGTACCAAACACACACACACACACACACATATGTATATATTATATAACATAGATAGTCTACAAGTTGGTATACTTACTTCTACATACTTACTCTATATACTCTTATCGTTAACATTTAAAAGACACTAAAACGCGCAATTGTATTTTATTCACATAAGTTTGTTTTACCTGGAATATAGCTGGATTTTTATTACATATTGTTATAATTTTTCTTTTGCCCTGAAATAATTCAAAAATAACACTTCTTAATTTTGTATTCCATACCGATACATAGTGGTGTTTAATCAAAGGAGCCAAACGAAACTTATGACCGGCTAACCGACAGATAACATACTATCCATCTACTACATCAGCATAACATAAATTTTTTAACAAAAATGTAGTTTTTAAATTAAAGATCTGAAGGACACTTTATAATGCATTAACTGTAAATCACGGGCCTAAGTGATATACCTAGAGACTAAACGCCAACCGTATACGATTTATGGAGACTAAGCAACGTTACTACATAATAACCACCGACGTCAAATATTGAAATAACTTATTATAATCAAAAGGACTATAAGTGCAGCAAATAATTTAAATCATTTCATAAATATTGTTCTTGACATTTTTCAACTAACTGAATATTATTTTGACAAAAAAATAAAAAGTCTAAAATGTTAGATGTCTAATGTTAGAAAGTTAAATGACTCAAAACAAATTTCGAAAATCACTTAAAAAGTTATCAGTGTTCGGAAAAAAAGAATCGTTTTTACACTTTCTTGAAGTCCTATACAAAAATCGCTAGAGCCTAAACACTATAAATATATTATAATATTTCATAATGCGATTTTTTTCCGAATACATTTTTTCGAGATTTCATTTCCGTAGTAGTTTACCGTAAAAGATAAACGTAATAACAATATAATATAAAATGCCAAAATGAATAGTTACGATCATATAATAATAATAACAATAATAATAATAATAATGTATTAATATTTGTTCTATTGATTTTTTTACTATAGCACAACCTATCGCGGGTTTTTGCGACCATTTGAAAACTCATATCCTTCCCCCTCCTATAAAAAAGCTGATCTCACCACTGTTTGATATGAAAATACCAAATACCGTATTTCCGATACCAAGCACAAATACCTACTCCGTACACAATTTTACGTATATTACATAACATAACAACGTCAATAACGGAAATCTGACTTTGACCGCAGTAGACCATCCGGCTCTTTTTCACCGAAACGATAAACAATATAATAACGTATTAATGCGATGTTTACCATATCAATAGTCTGTGCGGAAAAATGCCCGTGGCCATTTTCCCCCAAAAATGAGATATCGTTTTCCTCCGCTGTCCGTTTTCCTAAAACATAATGTATAGACCAGCGGTTCCAAACCTTTTTAGTTTCGCGGACCACTAATTTTGTAAAAAAATATTTGAGGCCCACCCATAGCATACCTGTATACGTTTTTATAAAATTATAATATATAATATATATTATACACATATATACATGTATATACAGTTATTAGGAATAAAACAATTTTAAAAATTAAAAAAACACTTAATTCAACTTTATCACAAGATAAACAATTTAATGTGATTTTTGGCACTGCTTGTTCTTCACGAGAAAGTCAATATCTGGATTAAAACTTGTCAGTTTTAGTCTTGAATCACTCTCAACATTCAGTTTATTCCTATATTTATTTTTTAAATAAATTAAAGTAGAAAAAGCGCGTTCACATAAATAAGTTGTCGAAAAGCCCATCAAATTTCTCAGTGCAATTTTGGCGATTGCTGTATAGTCTTTCCGAACATTTAACCAGAATGGCACTAATTGTGTACTTTTAAAATACGATTTTAAAGTCTGATCACATGACATTTCAATCAACGAATCTTCTTCACTTGCTGATATTTTCAATTTTTTCAAGTAATCTTCTTCAAATGGATTTCTGATCCATTGGAATTCCTCTTCAATTTTAGGGAAGTAGTTTCTAAAAACAGTGTATAAATGATTTCAATTATGCCTATTAAAAAATATTAATTTGTAATTAAGAAAAAAAAAATAATTAAAAATAATCTGAGGTTGGAAGCTAAAGATTTGAGGTCTCTATACTATAGACCATTTTACTCCCCCATTTTATTTTCCCCCATTATTATAACAATATAGATTCTCACCGTTTTAATAATTTTTATACTCTATACATTTCGCAATATGCTGAACGAAATTATTTTTCTGAACATTTATACATAATATACACTGTAATATCTGACTAATAAATTTAATTGATTTTAACTTTTACTAAATACTTAAACGTGACGTATTATTTATTATGTTTTAGTGTTTTACCAATTTGATTAATTGGTTTATTTGCATGGCTTTGAAACGTTTTTTTCAATATCGCAAAAATAAATAATAATTATTAATATTGTTAAATTCTGAGCCAATCAATTATTCCTAAAGGTTGTAATTGTGTTTACACTGTTGCCAATTTCACTTATTTTGTATGATTTACTGCGGTTGTGATTGTTTATTATACATTGTGTTATATAAAAAAGCTGGATATACTGCACAACATGTTTTATGTGGAAATTTGTGTAGAAAAAAGGTTAGGTAAGCGGTTTGAGTTAAAACGACGAAATCAATTATAGTCAAAGAACAATTCTATAAGTGGAGCTCGACACATCGAATCATTTTATTAGTAATTAAGTACAAGTCGTGTTTTTTCTCCGTTTAACAAAAGTAACCCAAATATCAATAAAATTAAAACCCGCGCAACGTCATTTGTTGTCAGTATTTTCAATATTTAAAAAAAAAAATAAAATATTTGTTTAATGATTTACAAATCGCATGTTCGATTGCTTAAATTATAGTGCACAATGGTTGAACCAGTCAAAGACCGTACAAATTAGGAATTTTTGTTTATGTAAATATTTTTTTTTTAGTTTGTGAGTGCAAACTTAATATTGATTTTACTATGATGATTAAGGTTTGTGTTTATACTGCTAATAATTTATTCAATTATCCGATTTCCAAGTGTAGCGTTTACAGGATATCGATAAGATTTCCCTTATAGTTTTCTAAATAATAGAGAAAAACCAGGGGAAGAACGTAGAAACACATAGAAAGTATACGGCAATAAAATTTGTATTATTTTTATCTTTTATTTTTTTTTTTTTAATTGTCACCAAATACCTACTTATGTGAGTTCAATGAGCCATTTCTAAAAGTGATAATGATTTTTGTGCTATATAAAGGAATTTTATATTTTCGATTGATTTGGTTTTAGGTGGTTAATATTATTTTGACTGAACAGTAATGCTTGAAAACCAAACAAGAAAATTACCGACGAATTTTTTCAGTTATTGAAAAAAAAAAAAGAATTGGGCCTAATGAAGCGGTTGTTATTTTTTTATTAAACTCAAAATTATTTTAAACGCCAAGAGGTGAACAGACACGATTTTAGCAAAAGTAAAAGAAATTTCTGGGAAAAATATCAAGAAGGAAAATGTAATTTCCGCATAAGTGAACGACGGTGGAGTATAGCTAGAGATAATTCGTTTTCGGATGAAAATGCGGGGTGGTGAGGGTGGCTACCGTCCGTAAAAATACGGATGAATTCGACAAAAACGGTCCATGTATCGTGTGAACGAGTATCAATAGCCTATTATAATAATAATATATACAGGGTGAGCCTTTTATTATGAACCAACGTTTTTCTCGGAGATTTTAATTTAATTTAATTTATATTTTTTTTTTTTTTTGTCTTTGTTGAATCGTTTCAACTTTATTTTAAAACTATTTTTAATTAATTTTTAGCCCCTACTCCGTGATCCTAAAATGAGCATGTACTTTTATGTTTCAAATATAGGAACACCAGTTTTTGAACAAAGTTCTGAATATCTAAGTATTGTGTTATTAAAAATGTTAATATGCATAACATTATAATATCAGATTTGCCGTACGTGTGTTACAAACGTTTAAAGTTTACACCGGTGAAGTGTGGAGGAGCGGGGAATGGTAATAAATTGATCGTATATTTTTAAACGATAAAATTGACAACTTTTCTCTGCAACTTCTCCGGTATTAAATTTAAACGGTTATAGCCAACAAACGGTGAATCTGATACGAAAAACGTCTAGTAAATCATTCTCGCCTAACATCCGATCGGCGATTGACAGATGGGGGTGGTTATTTGAAAATCCGAAACGGACGCTCGTTTTAAGTGCGCGGACTAAGGTCTCGTGTGTACGTGTAATTAGGGCGGCGAAATCAATATTGAAATAAATCTCAAACGATTGGAAATCGGTTGTTCGTTTCAAACGCTCCCGGGAAAATTGCCCGTTCGCGATAAAAGAACCGTGCCGATCGTCCTGTATACATATATATATATATATACATAATATATCATGTATTATATACGGCACGGTGTGTAGTATTGTTGTTGGAAACGGCCGACGGGCGCGTTCGTCCGGAAAACGCGGAAAAACCAAATGAACCGTTCGGAAATTTCCCCCTCGGCCCTCGGCCCCGAACGGGCAAATGAACCGCGCGCGCGGTGTGGTCGGGGGAAAGTGGGTGCGTGGGAACGGAACGGGACCGCAGTTAACTCCGGCGGTATAATACGCTTTTGTTTAGGGGCGAGAGCCGCGAGACGCGCGCGCCGACACCTCGTTAACCGTGCCCGTACCGCCGCCAAAACAAATAACTTTTTGTCAGCCGCGATAATCGTCGGGCGGCGGCCGCCCGGTAAACAATAACAATAACGATAATAATGATAATCGGCGAAACGCCGCCGCGGATAAACGGCTAATAAACTCCCGCGGGGCCGGGGCGTCGGACCGTGCCGACAAATAACGGACGACCGCTCCGTCCGGTGAAACGTCGCCGGCCGCGGGAGGCGCGGGACGACGAGAAGAAAGCCCTCGTCAAGATACCTTATCGGGATTTCGCGGGCCGGAACGCCGGAACGCGCCGTCCGTCCTCCGTTACTCGGGCGACGGCCCGTTGTTTCCCGTTGTATCCGCGATTGTTTTTTCCTTTTTTTTTTTTTTTTTTTTTTTTTTTTTTTTTGCTATCCGGCACAATTTTTACTGTATATTTCCGTGGGCGATGTGTCACTTCAACGGACGCGGACTCAAGACCGGTTACGCGGTTTCGATAAGGACATTTGACACGATCGTTTTAAACGTTCTACGGTATCTGCGTTGTACATTTTTACCATGAACGGAACGACTGGAAAAGACGGACGCGCTTCGCGCGACGTGTGGGCCACTGGTATAAAGTGAGAGAAGTTGACGACGGCAGACGGAAAACTCAATGTATACCTGTACGCGACGTTTAATCGTAACTAACGAAAAACGATTCTGAGCAGTGTCCGATTCCTATTAATCGAATTTATGTATATATATATATATGTATCGCATAATGGTAAAATAATTGCATATATGCATTGCATAGTTTCTTTAATAATATTCGTTACCTATTTTCCCGGTTTTTCTACTTTTTTTCGCGGTTTTTCCCATTTATAATAAAAACAGCTTGGCGAATCAAGAAATTTCCCCTATAAAGTGCCACCACCGTCAGCTTTTATTTCGGAAAAAATGCTATACTTAAAAATCTTAGCGAACTTTCTGGTAGAAAAGTTATCTGTAGAAAAAAATATAATAAAACAAAATAAACATCATTGTAAAACCAATACATTCTTTGTTCCAGCTGAATCTAAAATGTCGGAAAAAACACAATAAGACACACGAGTAATATAGGAATAAATTAGTTAAACGCATGACTCGTGATAATGTTATTCGTTTTATCTGTTGTTATCAAGTTGTCGTAGCGTATGAAGTAATGCGAACAATTCACCAGTGTCGGCCGTATTGTGAAACCGTAAATTAATATACAGGTCTTGTTTAGGGATGGCATATACGTTGTTTATTATCTATGCATTTACGGCTTACATTTCGGTTAGTATATAATAAATTGTTATCCCGTCGTCGTAAAAGAAGGTCAGGTCCTCGCATTGAAACCGGCAGGTTTTTAATTTTATTTATTAGGCACTATGTACGATTTAGTCAACAAAGGTCGGTCGTTACTGTATTATTCAGAATTGAAAGCCACGGTCCACAAGATACGCATAGAATAATATCTAGATTTTTTCTAATAACCTGAAAAACATCTGACTTGGAAACTGTATAACTATCGGGAAAAGAATGTGCAGACGACCTCGTTGTTTTGTATTTATTTTCATATATTGGTACATACCGTATAACGGTACGATAATTCAGTGTTTATTCTTCGTGTGGTAACACTGATTGACCGGTATTTCACCAAGTCACTGCCAGTCGGGCAGTTTGGTGCGCTGAAGAAGCCATTGTTTCGGCATTTTAAACGGTATTCACAATAATCGGTTGAAACCGAAAAATAACCTAAACGAAAAACGGAATTCGCGACCGCAATACAGCAACGTACCTACCGCCACGGAGTGTCGTCCCGCGTCCAGGGCGACGGGAACTGTAGAACTGCTGTGAAAGTAACTATCACACTATCGAATTGCGATTCGACCGTAATGCCGTTTTCCGTCCGACCGTACACTCGTTTGGAATTTTACATTGCCCGCGGTTAAGGATACCACACCCCGCCCGGTGTGCCTGGTATTATGATATTGTGTAGCGAAACAATATATTGTATCGACGTAATATATGTATATATATATATACACCTTGCAGCTAGATCGCATATGAAATAATAGCTTAAATGTAATCTACACCGTCACACTGTCAAAATTGATGGTGTCGGATTTTTCGCACTGCACCGCTGTACGGCCATATGCGTTATCTATTGCACCGGCGGTGACAGGTACACCGACCAATGTACACGAGTGCACTCGAATGGAAAACGCTACAATAATAACGTACGAATGGTTTGGCTGGTTTTCCTACATGTATACATATTACAATAGGTTTCGGTGTTTTTATACTGTCTTTATAATTATTAAATGTACGAAATTCTCGGGTAATTTTTTTTTTCTTGATTAACGCTGAAAGTGTTTTCTAATTAATATTACATCCCGTTCACTTGTTAATTAATTAATAATAATATTTATTTTATAAAAAAAAAAAAAACAAAAAAATACAATAAATAAGTACTGTTTATTGTCTTTGTATTTTATTTTATTTATTTATTTATTTTTATTTTTTAATTTGAACGGATGGAACATAATAATTGTGTACAAATATATTGTACGCCCATGACGCGTAGTCTTGTGTATTACAATTTATAACTTTTTTTTTTCCTGTCCCTCGGGATCTAGTTACATCTTTAAAATTATTGGTTTTACCGAGTTAATATATATTTGTTCAGAAAACAAAACTACAACGTTAATATTATAATTAATAAAGTCCTCCGAAACATTTAACATAATATTAATTTGTAGTCAGTCGTGGCGACGACACGGCGCGTCGAATAGTCAAAACTGATACATGAATGTAAAGCTTATTACTGCGTGCAACGTAATAATGCAGTAGATTCTCGTTGTGTGGGAT